CGGACAATAATAATATTAAAAAAAGTATGGAAAATTGTGATTTCACTTTACAGATAATTTCCTGTACACTTCCCCGCTACGGAATCAAGTTCGCAAAAGCCATTTGTGTAACGATGTCCGAGGTCAGATTTAATTTTCATTTTCACATTGCACCTTGTGTGCATGTTGTATTCATTATTATGTATATTAAACATTGCACAACATTTGCATTTCCATTTTACACTCTGACTGATTTTTTTTTTGTGCTGCTTCTAGCAGAAGTACAAAACAAAAAAATTAAATTTATATCCATAAATTAATCACAGTTGCCTCCCTTGGGAAGAGAATTTATAAATTTGTAAGTTGCTTAATTCGCCATCAGGCATATGATTTGTGCAGACAGATGCTCATCGAGTCCGACAATCATTAATGAAAATGGTTTATTTTTGCGAGCGAGCATAGAAGCAATAAGTGAACGAAAATGAAAAAAAAATTATTTTATAAAAAAATAATATTTGTACGATTTTTTGTACATAAGCTGATACATAATAATAACAATCCAGCATGAAAAAAATTATATTATTTTTTTCAACAATTTCGAAATTAATGGCATCATTATCGGAAAGCAATTCTAACAATACAATGGAAGTACATCGTGAAATATAGCGCTCAAGGCACAAGTGAATTTATTTTATGCATTTAAATAAAGTCTTATCTATAGCTTCATTGTTTTATGCCATCGCATTTATGTGCCTTTTTTTTCGTGTACGATTTTGTGAGAGTTTGATGTTGAAACTGATTTGCTGACTGTCTGTCTGGTGGTTTTGTTCTGGAATATTGATGACAAGGTTGCGGTGAGGTTTTGTATTGAAAATGTCACGATATTGAAGCTTGGGTCCTTGGATATTGCGGTGGGAATTTAGTAATAGCGAGCGTTAATTATTTTATCTAAAAACGGGGGGGGGGGGGTTCATGTAATCTCTTGTGGTCTAATAGAGTCATATCGAGTGTCATCTGGTCTAAGGGCTCTCTTAAAGGTTTGGGAGCTCGTTGTAGACTTATTATGTTGTATTTATAGGCCTCTTCTTCTCTTGTCACTAAACGTTTGTACATTAAACTTCTTGAACCCTAAGTGATGGTTCAGACGAGACTATGGCCTTGGTCTTAGTCTGAAGATTCACAAACTTAGAATGCCTTTTAATTTTTAACCTTATTTGATTAGTAATTCCATTTAGATTTATAATTCCAGCTTAACATAGCGCATTTGATAAGATAGAATCCTAAACTTATCAACTATCCTCAAAAACTCATTTAAATCGAAACAACACATAAGTAACTTCAAGATTCACTTGAATAACTGCGTTTAGAACCTCCACAACACTCAATATCACCAACAATCCTACTTCCATGCCCGAACGTCCCGGTATCAACATAATATAACATGTATTCATGCAATTTTCCAAAAGTTAAAACATAAGCAGCCTCTCTTTCTTTCCGTACGATATATTGAATTAAGCATAATTTATAGCTGCTCGCCTGCTTGCCCTCTCACAATTCAATTTAAGCAACAGCAAGAATGAAAGAAACGTGAAGCAACGAAAATAAAAGCAGAAAGAGATTTCTTTGTATTAAAATTTTTTTTCGAGTATTTATTTTATTTCCAATTTTTATCGGTCTACAAAGTAATGAAAAATTTTTTTTTCCAATCAGCTACTTCATCAGCCGTATCATAAGTTCTTTTATATCCAAAATTAAATAGTATGGAAGTTTCCAATTCATTGAGTTCAAAAAAAATATATATACCCGATTTTAATTTTTTTATTCGACCCTTTTCAAGTGTACTCATGGAGATTTCTCGCTTTATGGCACGTAGAGCACTTCCTTTTTATACACAATGAATATGAATATTATTTTATCTAGATATACAATATCCTCGAATATTTATTTTTTTAATCGATTATTTCTCTGGCTTTTTTTTTTCAATGCTATATGGTAACAGCAGCAGCAATAGAATACTGAGTAACGATCCATGAAAGATGCATATTCAGCAATTTTAATATGCTCACTCGATTGGTTCTTGTTTTTGCTCCATTAATAAATATGATGAAAAAATGATCGATTGAAATTTTTTTGGGGGGTTTTAGGAATAGAGCGCAGTTGAGTCGGAGTTTTATGGCTTTTATGGATAATAAATCAATTATTAACGTATACTTTTAATTTACTTTTCTGGCTCCTGATGTCATGCGCGTAGCTATGGTTTTTATCCTAAAATGTACCCCCCCCCCCTCTTCAAATTCCTGGCTACGCCCCTGTCTGTTTCTTTATCAAATAGTAATGACACTGAAAACACTAAGTCAGGGGTGATGCTATGGATTTGAGAGGAGGGGGGAGGGGTTATTTTTTGGTGAGAGGGGGGGAAGAAGAATTTTTTTTCATAAAAACACTAGCAAAATGAAGAAATTTCTGTTAACATAGGAGGATTGTTTCAACAAACTACTTCGCGGGGGGGGGGGGGGGTTAGGATTTTTAGTATTTTGCAAAATAAAAACACTAGCAAAATAAAGAAATTTCTGTTGACATAAGAGAATTTGTCCCCAAAATACCCCCTCCCCCCCCCCCCCCCCCCCCCCTCCCTGACTTCGAGCGAATACTAAGTTAAGTACAAAATGCAACTCAAATCATTAATTTACTTGTAAATTTATCTAACACTTAGCCTAACACACATGAGACATAAACATTACCCACCTTTTCCTTTCAATTTAACACAATATACGCTAAAAAAAGTTGAGTATAAAAGTATAAATTTATAGCATAAATCGAGAAGAGAGTGAAAAAAAATAAAATAATAATTTATTGCCATTGAAATTGATTTCTACATCCATTATATCGCATTGGCAATGCAATTGCAGAATAACGATATTTTTTTAATCGAATCTATATGTGCTAAATGGTCATCAGAATGGAGAATATTGAATATTGTTGTGCAAATATACGCAATAAATTCTAAAATAGGTCTCTGGTGTAATCGTACATAAAACAACGAGGCATACAACATTTCATAATGGTTATTGATGATTATTTATTAATAAAATGAAATGTACGTTATACTTTATAAATGTGTTGCCATGATGTCATATACATGAGAATTTAATATGTAGAGAAAAAAAAAATATTAATCACGATCACCCCAAACGAAAGTTATCGAGTATGGGACTTTAAGTTAATATTGAAGAGAATACGCGGGACAACAATTTATTTTAATGATGTATACTCGCTGATGAGGGTAATATCATTACATGTGTCGCTTATAGTGAATCCAATTATTATGTGTCAATATGGGACGGGTGGAAATTTTACATAAAATGACTGTTTTTTTTTACGTCCCTGGAAGGTTTGATGAGTTTAGCATTTTTATGGCTTTTACTGTTTTAGTCATGGGAAATTTTAATGAATATTTGGAGGTAATTTTCGGGAAGTTTTTAATGGAAATTTATTCAAGTTCTGTTTATTTTGATTTTTGTATCTATTATGGGCATGTAAGAGTCATCACATTGTATTTACATTCATTTTATTTAATGAAAGCTATAGTCTTTTAATTTTATAGCAGATTTCTTTAATAAACTGTTTTATGGCCACAACAATGCATTTCTAATACAGCTTTTATTTGTCCTGATCATCGTAGTCTTCTTTAACATCAAACTGAGCCAATAAGCATCAACCATTGCATGTACCCGAATAGCACAAGTCGATTAATCAAACAAAAATCCAGCGCCAAGCAAGCATGATTCAGGCTTAGTGCTGGCTCAATATAAATCCAGCACCGAGCTAGAGTCACATCTGCTTGTGATATTCGAGGTCCTAGCTGCGAAATTAGAACAATATGACCTCTCCACCCGGACTATGTCTGGTACTTATTTTAAGTCCTGGGATTTGACTCCCTGATTCTAGTCTTTACTTTGAGATATATTAATATGTCTAACCCAGTGATGGAAAATTCAGTAAACCTCACGAACCCTATAATAATAATAATAATTTATTACCGAAAGGTATTTAGGATACATATAAAATAATTAAAGCTAATTTGACAATTTGCAAGTATTTAAAATTTGTTTATTTTCAATGGGATTTGCACAACAGTTTTTTGACAGATCTTAAATGAATTACCGTGACTTTATCCTTACGATAGCCCTATGCTGTTTGCGGTTTTGGTCATGGCTTACGAGCAAGGTGTGCAGTAGCTCAGACTGCTTTGGTTTAATCTTATCTAAAATGTGAACTCACTTCGTTGTCATGTCAGTGTCATCCAGTGTTGATACAAAGTTGTCTTTGTCTAGATTTTGCCTATGATCTAGCAAAGTCATGCCTTTCAAAGGCACAACAAAGACAAAAGCAAAACAAATTGCCAAAAAAAGCAAAGGCTCGAGTCTTTAACTTCAAGTTGCGCACGCTTAGGTCCACCTTTTCAAAGTCAAGTGCTAGTTATCAACACTGGTGTCATCAGCATGATGCCTATCAGGGACGGGGGACAACTCCTTCTTCATTAACAGACATTTCTTCATTTTGCTAAGGTTTGGTGCAAAAATCTTTAAAACCTTCATAAAAATCATTTTTAATGCTTGATAAAATAAAATCCAATAAATTTATTCCAAAATCATTAAAAAATCAATTTATTCAGAACCTCGATTATATTTCCATAATAATTCATAATTGAAGGGAGGGAGAGAGAAGGAAAATAGAAAATTGTGATTTAATTCAAATGAAATGTGAAAGCGAGAAATGAAAACAAAAATATAAAATAAATTGAAATTAATAATTGATTATCAGCGATTGAATGACGCTCACAAGATGAAATTGATGGCGCAATTTTGCTAATTAAATCTGATAATTGATGTCGGATGTGGTTGATTGATGACCTCTCGCTCATGTTAAATAAAATAAAATGACCTTTTTCTCTATTACACACTATGTTGTGTCTATATTAAGTTATTGAACTAAATTCCTACAAATTATAAGCATGTAATTTAGTTTGGTGGCAAATACGAGTTCGATGGTGGCAAATATTCATTCGATGGCGCTATAACATCTCTGATTAAATTTTCCTTTGGTGGCAAATATGCTGACGACAATCTTTCCGATTCCGACTCACTTGGGAAGTCAAATGGCTCTAAGCATGGATGAAGAAAAAATAAATTTATATTTTTTAACTTAATAAAAAAAGAAAGTTTTTCTTACTATCGTAGCTGACTTGATATCCCTTCTTATCTGCTTTATAATAAATTTTTCTTTCCTTCCCGTCAGGATCTATGCAAGGAAAAGAAAAGTAGCAAGCAACTGTGAAGCTTTACAAGCATATTTTATATTATATTTTACTTACTTACCAACGTACTTGTAAAATCCAATTACGACATGAGCTCCGTCAACTTCCTTTCTCTGCTGTTGACGTTCATGTCCGTCTTCTAATGTGAATCTTTTTTTTTGGATTAAATAAATTAAGATAATTTTAGTATAGAGTTTAGAGGAAGAGTATAGTGAGGATAAATGTAAGGTTGGCATCAGGTGCTTATAATGGAAGCTCGAGGTCTATTTCTAAGAATACCAGGAGTATTAGACTTCCCGTACTAAACTGTCTAACCCCAAAGGGAACTTTCTACATTCCAAAGCTATTTTAATTAACCAGAATAGTGATGGACAACATTTTTTGTGCTATGGCACACATTGGTGGTAAGTCATAACCAAAATGTTTATGTTGCTTTCTTTGTTCAAGTTGATTTCGGAAATAGTAGGTTGTGGGGCTGCCACCTTCCAGACAAGCATGTTTGAAAATGCTCTTAATCTATCATTTCAAGTAGAGATCCCGGCACAGGGCTTGGTCGCCAGCGGTATAATTAACGGTATCAGGAGATACCACGAGAAGGTATACACTTGTAATAATATGAATGTGATAAGAGCCCAGCCTTTCAGATGGAGGCACTGCGATTCAATTACATTTAAACTTGACATTTGGTCAGCTTCGGAGTCAGACTTCGGCTTCGCCAATCCCCAATCCCCAATGTATGGTTTACGTTATTTTCAAGAAAAATCTGTAGCACACCTATGTGCCATGGCACATGGGTTGACCATCACTGAACTATAAGCAAAGTTATAAGATTTTTTTGAGCTGAAGTGGCTCGGTGGCGGAATGGTTTAGTACTTCGGTACCTAATTATTGCAATACCGACACAGCGATCATGGGTTCGAGACTGGGTATGGGAAATTTTTCACTTGTTCTTTTTCGAATCATATGTACTGGAAATGAGGCTCACAGCCTTCCTTTGTAGGCTACAGACAGAAATGTCATCAAAGGAGTGGTTCGGATCCCACTATAAATTGTAGGTCTAGGTTTGAGTGCAGTGGTTTGGCGCATCCTCACTCGTTAAACTCTCATTAGCTGCGAATCGCCCTAGCGCACCTCTGGATCACAATTGATCTGAATAGGTAAAGGTTTTTTTTTTTTTTTTTTATAAGATTTTTCAATCCTCCTCGATTGCCATAAAAAAAAGTATCGAACACATTTTCCAGAGCAATGACTTACTTGTAATCAAATTCAGCTCCATTGATTTGATTATTAATGCCTTGTATCTCAACATCATCACTTTGAGGAGACGGTGCACAGTGAACGTAAATGATTATGAGTGATAAAACTGGAATGATGAGCTTCGACATTATTTATCGATTATTTTTCAATATTAAAATATGACTAAAATGCTTTTGTTGCTCTTATGCGAAAAATTCTTGTCTATGTCTGACGCTCACAGCGATAATCTATGTAATGATATCGATTTAAGTTTAATCAATGCATTTTATGTTATTTATATATATGCAAATGCCTTCAAGAATCATCGATCTAATCGGAGATGAGCTCATGTTCTTCAATTAATTTTCATTATTATTCTTATTCTTACATTCCCATAGCTATATCGCTAGTTGTGTGTCAAATTGTGGGTGAAACTGATTGATTGAACATCACGGATGTATGTTTAGATTAAGTGTGAAGCGAGCAAAAATGAAAATAAACACAGAATTAATGGAGAAAAAAACAAACAAACAAATAAACATGGCAGTAAGAAAATAAATTATGCAAATGAGGAAATAAACTTAATAAAGCATTTTTAAAAAAAATAGTTTCGTCTTCATTTCCATCATGTAATGTGATTATGAAATCTGTGCTGTGTAATTTGATTTTTCATGATGAATTATGCTCATTGCATTATATCAAATGATGATTATTGAAAGTTAACTTAAGATTTTATGGCTTTTGTAGAATTTGTGGTATCTAAATGCACAGACTTAACTTAATGTTTTGATGGATTTGTGTCTGGTAATTAGGAAGATATCAACAATGAGTTTAAGGTAGGCCATAAACTTCAAAGTCTACAATTTTTAAGAATTGATAAGAGATGGATATAAAGACTTAAAACATATTTATGGCTTATTTTGAAATTTCATTGACTTTTTGATCTAGTTTTGACTGGTTTGGATCATGTGGGAATAACTTTAAGCTAATTTTTTTTATTTAACTTTAAAGGTACCCTTAACTAGTTGCTGCACCCCTACTAGATTCTAGACTCTGAATAATTACTAAACTGCACATTTAACTAGGAAGCGGTGAAATGGCATCAGTGACCCAAATGGTAAATCACTGAACTTGTGTGCCAAAGGTTCTGGGTTCAATTCCAGGCCAAGTCAAGTGTTAGAAGCTCTTTTTCCACCTGGGAGTGGTTCGGATCCCACTATAAATTGTAATCTAGGTTCAAGTGCAGTGGTTTGACGCATTCTCACTCGTTAAACTCTCATTAGCTGCGAAATGCCCTTGCGCAACTCTGGATCACAATTGATCTGTATAGGTAAAGGTTTTTTCCCACTACAACGCTCTGGTTACGAAGCTCAAGTTGTGTTTGTGTGGTTTTGATGTTTACGGCGCATAACATGTCTCCTTTGTTAGGTATACTAGGAAATACTAGCATCTGAATGATTTCATGACAGCATCTTGCGCTCACGAATTGTGACCAGGTACATTGCAGGGTACATCAGGTCTTTAGACATACTCGTGTCTTTGCAATTTGCAGAGCTTGCAAGTGGTTCGGATTCTACTATAAACTATAGGTCTAAATGGTGTGGAACAATTGATTCTGTTATAATTTGAATCGCAGTGCCTCCAGCTCAAAAAGCTGGACCCTTTCCAAGATTTACATTTTAATTTACACTTAACTAGAGAAATACAAGCTAGGACATTCCAGGATTTGAACTCGGAAGTGTCAATTCTACTTTCATGACTTCATGACAAGCCAAGTCTGCTAAATTTTTTTATCATAAATATCAGCATAAAACCCATTAAAACTGCTCGTCATCAACAAAAACTTTATAAACATCAGCAGAAAAATTCAAGAAATTTATTTACAGCCAATTGCTTTTAAATCCCAGTCATCAATAAGCATTAAATATCTAGTTTTATTTTGTCACATGACAACAATTTTACAGCTGTCGAATAGACCCAACATAACATAACATTGCATAATGCAAATCTTTAAAGCTCAATTTTTTTTATCGCTCAGCATTAATCTTGAATTTCACAATGGTAGCTTAATTGAATTAAAGACACACAGCTATTTGGATACCACATCGAATGGTGAATGCTTAACTGTCTGGAAAAATTTCACGCATTTTTCTTTAACGTTTAATGCCATAAAAGAAGATCACGTTGTACTGCATATGGAATTGTTGTTCCAATTTCGGATGGGATTTGTTACAATTTTTTGTGTGCTGTTTGTTTAGGTATTAAAAGAATGCTCGATTCGAGTAAAAATGTTTTATTGCAAAATTAGAGAAAAAAAAAATTGCTAGTTTTGAGAATTTTCATTGGATTGGAAATAATTGAAGTTCGTGAAAGAATTTGGAGTTGGTTTTAGAAAAAAAAAATGAGGAATTTATTGCTTTGCAGAGTGAGTTATGTTTGTGTAACTGAGCATATTTGATGAAAATCAAGGCGAATTGCTTGGATATTTCTTTTTGAACTAATAAGACTTCCTTAGAGCAGTGATGGTCAATCTATGTACCGCGGCACAATTGTATAGTACAGCACACTAGTAGATTCGTCTGTGGTTTCGGTCATGACTAATGAGCAAGTTGTGCCGTGGCACAAAAAAGGTTGGACGCCACTGCTTCAAAGCAGTGCTGTTCAACCTTTTTGTGGTAAGCCATGACGAAATTGCACACGGTATACGGTTCATGGAATTTTCTGAATTTTTTCGCGACACACTAGTGTGCCTCGGCACACGAGTTGACAATCACTGCTCCAGAGTATACAAAAATGAACTCTTGTGGGTATAGGAACGGAAGATAACCCCAATACAGTATATGCCTAGTTCAAGTGAATGACCTCAATTAAAAAACGGAAGCATTTGATGACCCCCACATAAATCATTCAAAACATCATAGACACAAGCAACATGAGAATGACAAATTATTTCAATGTCAATCGATAAGACGAGATAAGCATGAACAACAATTTGACAATCTCAAGTATAAAATTGATACTTAACAGAGAATAACTTCACAAGCACATGCAATAATAATTACACAAATCTATAATACTTCAATTCAATAGCTTTATCTTAATTGCATAATTTATTTCAACTATAATTTTGAAGAGCTGTAGCTAATAAAATCAAGGTCTATAAATTTCCTCTTCCACAATGTCTTAATCTACAGAAAACGATGCCCGGTAATAACACCGACGCGGAATAACTTCACTTGTAGAGAAAATCGTGAGTTCGGAATAATGTCAAAAATTTAAAATGCATAGAGCGGTAATAACTTCACCTATATAGCCTGAGTGAACTTATTCCGGCGTGGCGCAGGAATAACTTCACCTAGAAAATGAAGGTGAAGTTATTCTTGCACGCTGTAGGAATAACTTCACTTATATGTGCCAAGTGAAATTATTCCTGCGCCACGTCGTAATAATTTCACAAATTTTTGTTCATCGACATTATTCCGTCATGATGCAGGAATAACTTCACTTATAATTTCTATGTGAAGTTATTCCTGTTTTGTGTAATTACTTTTATGTTATTTTTTAAGGGTTTTTTATGATATTTAATTAATAAAGTTCTTCAGTAATATGTTTTGAAGTTTGTTGCGGATTTTATTCTAATTTGATGTAAGACAAGATAGTTTCTTATATCTTCGAAATTAATTTGGAATATATAGAAAGTTCACTACTAATTCGTAATTACTTTGAATATAAATTAAAACTTTAATTAATTTTTCTGGAGTTATAGACTCTTTTGCTGAAATATCTCTATTAGATATCAATCTTGTGATATTAACACATGTTTTTGTATCTAAAAGGCAGGCTTTAGATGAGAATTTAATAGCTAAAATTAACAAAACTTTTGTCAACAGTGTCAATTGGTAACATAAGAGCGCTTCCATACAAAATTAAAATTCAAAAAGTTGCACAATTAGCTAATTTTAACTTGTTTAATTAAACTAGAAGCAAGTGAAATGATAAAATATACATTTTTTCAATCCATTAGAAGGATAGCTTGCAACAAAAGAAGTAAAATCTAGTGTTCGAAATCTTAGAAAATAAAGTTTTTCGAACTTTTGGGGACTGGATAAATAAAGTTCATTTTTAACCAACCTTTACGATGGCATAGCATTTGTATTAAAATTTAAACGAAAAGGTTCTCAACGGCTAGTTCTCACACTCAGAAATGCTTAAAGAGATCAAAAAAGCATCCAGAGGCATTGAAGCTGTAAACTGATGTACATTCAAAAACAGGAACACAGTCAATATCAGAAAAACTTCCATTAACCTTTGTGTTCAAAAATTTCATTCAAATTTTTTGAAAAATTTCCCTTGTGACGTCACAAATTGAGATTAAAAATCTCAATTGAGATTAAGACGTGAGAAAAAAATTTCACGAGATTTGAAAACTCGCTCGATTTTCTCACGAGTTTTTTGGTAAGATTTTGAACGCTAGATTTTACTTCTTTTGTTGCAAGCTATCCTTCTAATGGATTGAAAAAATGTATATATTATCATTTCACTTGCTTCTAGTTTAATTAAACAAGGTAAAATTAGCTAATTGTGCAACTTTTTGAATTTTAATTTTGTATGGAAGCGCTCTTATGTTACCAATTGACACTGTTGACAAAAGTTTTGTTAATTTTAGCTATTAAATTCTCATCTAAAGCCTGCCTTTTAGATACAAAAACATGTGTTAATATCACAAGATTGATATCTAATAGAGATATTTCAGCAAAAGAGCCTATAACTCCAGAAAAATTAATTAAAGTTTTAATTTATATTCAAAGTAATTACGAATTAGTAGTGAACTTTCTATATATTCCAAATTAATTTCGAAGATATAAGAAACTATCTTGTCTTACATCAAATTAGAATAAAATCCGCAACAAACTTCAAAACATATTACTGAAGAACTTTATTAATTAAATATCATAAAAAACCCTTAAAAAATAACATAAAAGTAATTACACAAAACAGGAATAACTTCACATAGAAATTATAAGTGAAGTTATTCCTGCATCATGACGGAATAATGTCGATGAACAAAAATTTGTGAAATTATTACGACGTGGCGCAGGAATAATTTCACTTGGCACATATAAGTGAAGTTATTCCTACAGCGTGCAAG